GCCCCCAAGATATTGGACAAATCTTCTCAACTTTATTTTGTTAGAAGAAACTGGGTGTTACAATGTACATCTATTAGATTATGGTATATTGGCTTCTATACCATACTGGCTAAGCCAATAAAAAGTCTTGAATTGCATTATCCAATGATCCAGTTTTTAATAAAAAAATATAGAGGATTTTCATTTAGTTTAGGAAGTTACACAGGGATGTCGCCAAAAAGGTAATGGTATAAGATAATTTGACACTCTTCATGAAACATCTCCATAACATCTTGAGTTGACACCAAATGTAATGTAACCACCTCTTAATCTTTTCACTTGTAGGTTACCACAGTCATTCCCCTTACTGTCTGCCATACATTTCTCCCAAAATCAGTACTGAGAATTTGGTGTTAGATCATAAAACCTCCCCTAGTTGAGATTGGTCTTTGTTCTCATCACCAGTCCCCTTGATAGTGTATAGGAAGGAAAAACTGCTAAGTCAACCCAAGGAGTCCAAGGGTTCCAAAGAAGACCATGAAAAGGAATGACTGGGATTGATAACCATGAAGAGGAATGACTGGGATTGATAACCATGAAAAGGAATGACTGGGATTGATAACCATGAAAACGAATGACTGGGATTGATAAGAATCCGGTTTGTACCCTTTTCCAGAAACAAATTTCAAGGACTTTTCCAGGCTCAGATTGATTTTTCCACAACTCCAAATTTGACCTTTATCCCTTTCATTACCAAGATTTCGAAATCAATTCTCCTCCTTGCAGTCTTTGCACATTTCTTATAATGTAAATCCTGAAAACTTTATTGCTTGATTTAAGCAAATTTCCAGGACTATCAAGAACCTGTAGTCTTTTTCAAGGACTTTCCAGTCCTGGAAAATGTTAAAATAAAATTCCAGGACTTTCCAGGTTTTCCAGTACCTGTATCAACCCTAAGAATGTAAGTAATGGTTTATTAAATTTCTGGTTTTTTTTTTACACTTCTATCCATTCCTGGTAAAGGGAAGGGAGGGAGGGAGGGAGGTTTTAAATACAAATAAAACTTCCACTCTACCTTCACACTTGGCTTTAGTTTGTTTTAACTGAGCAACTTGCTTTTTGACATATTTTATAAGATCTTCTTTGGGGAGTGATTCAAGCTGCAAAAACAAAATCATCACAAAACATCTCAATGTTAACCTTATAACTGCCAAGATCTAATTGTCAATTCTCCCCTCTAACTACTACAAATTTCCTTGTAAATCAGTGATGAGACTTGAGGGTTAGATCAAGATAACAAATTTTTACTTTAATCCAATAAATTTGAGTCTTCTCACTACCTGTTTGCTGAAAAATTAACAACTAATCACCAATGTGAAGGTGGTTAGTGGTGGATATTTACCGAGCCACGAAGCAGCAAGGTAAATATCCACCGCTAACCACCGACACTAAGGTGAATAATTGTTTTAGTATACCTACTAAAACAGTGAGATAATATACACCCCCGTCATTAATTTGAGTGATTTCTTCGCTTATCACGGATGCAAACCAGGATGCCATTTTCTCCCGAGTTGCTCAAAGGTAAATAGCAAAGGATATTCAGAGTTTGACTAGCCAATCAGAGCGTGCCTTCAACGTTATCCACTGTTTTAGTACATACCAATATATGGATACTAAAGGGAGAAGTTACATGTTTATCACTTCAGAGAGTTCAAGGTTTAAAGGTCTTAATGTACAGGGGATGATCACTGGTAGGCACACCATACACAGAGACATGTACCTCTGAAGGCATGTCAGTGGGATGGAAAAGTACCCAACCCTATATGGCACAACACAGGGACACCAACCCTGCAGCTAAAATAAACAATCATGCCATATTGTCCACTGAAGCCAAGAAAAGGCAAAAAACATTACACTGTAGGTCTGTATGCTTATGAAATCAAAAAATTTAAAGACTGTTCATGAACATTTTCAAAACCTTTTTAATATTTGTATGGCCTTTGGCCATGAAAATGGGTCCTACACAATTTGACAACAATTTGTTTTCAATATTTTCAAAACTGTCATATTCTATCATTTTTCCCAAATTTTAAAAGCCATACTCAAATTCCATGATATTTTTCATTTTCTAATATATAGATTTAGCCAAGCCTAAAAGTGGAGCTCACAAGTTCGTAATATTAATGATAACATAAAAGATGTGCATTTGCCAAGACTCGTCTGAGACACCCCTCCCTTCTTTTTGATGGTCTCCCCTACCCTACCCGTGCAATCTGAAGGCACGTACGTATGTACGCTCGGTCAGTCACGTGACAACCAAATGAAAAGAGGTTGACCATATTCCATGGGTATGGGGTTCTGCCCCACGCGCACTTTGCGCATGTGGGAGCCCCGCTATGAACTGAAAGAACCCTGAAAAAGCATTCATACCTCTGGCTGGCCATGTATGGAAATGCATCAACACAGGGTGTGTAAAAGTGAGCTGTATTTCAAAATTATTTGGAGCTGCCATAGGCATTTTTTGGGGGAGAGGGAAGGGGGAGAGAGGTGACAAGTGAGTATGCACCCCCTGCAGGCCACTAAAGTCTGTTTACCAGATAACGGCAATTCAAAAGAAAAAAAGTGGTAGATTTGTTTGCCCAGAGGGATTCAAGGAGGCTTGACTTGGCAGTCTAGTGAAAAATTAAGCCCAAACTCTACTTCAGCCTTCAAAATGCATGCCCTAAACCCCCAGAATCTTGTTATCAATTTATGCCTTTGACCCTCACTCAAACATAGACCCCCCCTTCCCCACCCATGCACAAAAGCCTCTCTATGGGCCTGCCATATATCATGAAATTCCTTGCCAGAGGATACAACAAGTTCTATATACAATATTTGTCAAAATTTAGGGATCTGCACCAAAAATCTTAAGAACAAATTTCATCTGTACAGTCTAATACTTCCTTATAGTTATATATTTGGTAAAATAAGCCCTTGTACCTGCTATACACTTCCCCCATGATTAATTGGGAGAAACTGGTGTTTCATTGAGATAACTTCCCTTAGCTGATAATTACATCTATTCCCATTAACTGTTTAGGAAACAAATTACTAATGCAGTTGGGAGAAGTTAATAAATGCAAATAGCCCATTTCCGAATTACCCTTGGCCTCATTTTCAAAACGAGTCTTGGTGCTCATCCTTTCATATGATAATAAGTTTTCCTTCACATGCAAATTAAACTCATTTTCACAAGAATGGCTGAGCACCAGGCCTCGTTTTGAAAAAGAGGCCAAGGGTAATTTGGAAATGGGCTATTGCATTTGGGAGTTGAATGGTTGTACAGTCTTCTTTTAGAGCACATCATTTCCAACATTTTCTTTTGGAATAAATATCAGTTAAACAAACGTATAGAATATATTACCTGTGATTTTCCTTGTGGTTTTGTTGGTGTTGTGTTTGATGGGGTTTCCTTTTTCATTCCATTTGTCACACCTAGTGGGTCTGTGTTATTCTACAATTTAAATAAATAAGTTTTAAGGGGAACTTGCAGACTCCAAGCCAGTCACAGCTCCATATATATGTTTTTCAAATGTCTGTCAAATATATTTTCTGCTAGCACGTGTACAATATTGGCTAAAAAGCTTTGCACAGCTTGCATATCAATCTGCAATGATTTCTCAGGTTTAACATCATTGAGACACACTGTTGGTGGCACAATAGTCTTTTAAATGATCAAGAATAAGCCCTCAGATTGCACTAACCTACACACCGATACACTGCGTTAAAAATCTTTCCTATTTTAACTTAGGGTAGAGCTGCTATATATTTAGTAAAAAATTGTTTCAGTTGAACTCACCATGATGACAAATTTACTACCAATATGGCACTTGCTTTCTTCTATATTGAGCAACGCGTTATCAGATTACGTTGAAAATCAATCCCACATAAACTGATAAATTTTTTAAGATACATCCATCTAACTGGGTCCTTTTGTCTGAATACCGCTACACATGCCTCAGCGAAAGCCTCATGAGGACCAGGTTAGAAAATTTATTTCACAATAAACTCTCGAAAGCCAAGAACATGGTATTGTGAATGTTAGAGATCAAAAACTCGAGCAGCCAAATATTTGTCATAGAAGGGTGTTCAAGCGCTTTCTTTCTTTATCAAAGGCAAACAAGCAATTCTCTATCTCTAGTTAAAAAGTTCGTAAGAGGAAGTGGACATTAAAGCGAAGGCAACAGCAAAGTTGATTTTTACTGATTACTAAACTACCATGAGATAAACAAGGTTTAATACCCCAGGTATACAATAAGCTGCTTTAAAATATTAAGATGTTTTAAGATGAAAAGAACTCAGGCATGCAAACACACGCGACCAATTTTCAATGCGATCATTGAACTTGAAATAACGTCATCAGTGGTTTCGCATTCATTTCACTACAATCGAAAATTTTGCCATCCAGCAAAGGCTTATAACACCTAACAGCACGTACAATTTCAAAGATCCAACATCAAAGAAATTCTCAGCGGGAACTTAAATTTAGAGACCACAATGATGGAAAATATTAGCTTAATAAACTTAGCTATGCACTTCACTTACAATTGTAGCCATCTCGCACTTTCTTGAATATATTTTTCCGACGGTCGTAAGATGAAATCTTTAGCGATCCACGCGGTAAAATTGTGATTAAAACGTGCGTGTTGGGGGCTTGAATTTATAAAAATTAATCACGGGTGTCATTACCAACAATCTACCGTTCTAGACTTTGTCTTCTCTGAAAAGTTCGGCAGTTGTTTTCATTTTGCTCTCCCCGTGCTTTGCATAATTCGAACAACTTCCACGTCAAAACTGAGCCGTGGTGACAAGTCCTCTCAGCGTTCACTCATTAAAATTTATGCACAGAAAGATCCTGCGCAGAAAAGCCTCGTTTTGGTGTCTAAATATTGTGAGAAACTGAATCCGAACAAGTGGCGCGAAAGTGAAAAAAATACATGTGACATGTCCTCAATTCTTTTCAAATTTTCACCTCTCTTTTTGCGGATCTGGTCTTCTAAACTACCAAGAAGAAGAATGATTTGTGACTCACAGTTCACTTCTTTCATTTTCCTTGATCTTGAAACAACAGGACTCAAAAAACCTCGTGGAATTACTGAGCTAAGCATGATAGCTGTCGAACGAGAACATATCATTGAGAGTTCCGCAACTAAAACAGTCCCTCGTTTGCTTGATAAATTTACCACTTGTGTTAGACCTACGAAGGAGATCGAGTCAGGTGCTTCTATGATCAGCAGAATATCGGAAGGAGATCTCGAGAGGAAGAAAACATTTGATATTGAGCTTGGAAGAATGGTCAAATCGTTCATCACCAGACAACCTCAACCGGTGTGTTTGGTTGCTCACAATGGCGACAACTTTGACTTCAATATTCTTGTTTCTCATCTTCAAACTGTCGAAATAACGTTACCCGGGACAGTCTACTCCTCTGATTCGCTCAAAGCCTTTCGAAAACAGCACAAAGAAGCTGAAAATGGGGGGAATAAAGAAGAGAGTGTGGAAGAAGATGTGAATCGCAAAGGAAAGCGATTTTATTCCCTAAAACATTTGTACAGCACCTATGTGGGTGGGGAAATTGCTGACGCTCATAGTGCAGAGGCAGATGCGTTTGCTCTGTTAAAACTTGTTGTCCTTAAGCCAGACATTCTGATATACTTGGAAAATGAAGCACGTCGACTTTTTCCAAAAGACAAAGAAATTGCAAGGGATCCCGAAGAACCACCAATGAGTGTGGAAGAAAAGTCTGCAAGCCAAGTTCAAAATGCAAATTCACCACAGTTAGAAAAGGGCGAACTTTTATAAGATTGCTCTTTATTTTAATCAAAAACAGTTATTGAGTGTAAACCGTAAGTGATAATTGTTTTTCTGATGTGATTATCTGAGAATAACACCTAACAGCACTTACTGGTGACTGAAATTTGAACAACGTAAGCACTGCCTTGACTTTGATGATCCAGTCTGCCGTGTATGGCAGAACTTGACAAGATCTTGTGTGTGCAAAGGTGATTCTGTCATTTGAAATGTATGGTAGGAAAGGAAAAAAATTGTGCATGCATCTGTCAAACTCAGCAGACAGTATGATATTATGACCCCCACTCGGGGTTTCAATTATTAGGTCACTTACATGGCTAGCAGTCTCTTTTAAGACTGCCCTTACTCAGACCATCACAGAATACCATCTATGGAAAAAGAAAAAGAAACCAAAACAAGTTTGAACAGTGAAAATTTGCTATGCAGTTCTATTTTATCAAGGATATGGAGCACACTATGATTTGAAATGTACTTTTAAAAATTTGTTTTTTATTTTGTTGTTGATATTGTTATTAATCATTGACTATTCATTTTGAGAAAAGAATGGCTGAAGGTAATCATTTGGTTTTCTATACCTATAATGAGGAGGTCTTGGGCCCAATTGTTTTGAGGGGTGGACAATGTTACCCAAAGGATAAATTGCTATCCAGCTGAAAAGTTTTAACACCATGTGCTTTTCCATCCATTGGATAGAGATTATAGTATACTATTAGCCATGCTTTGAACATCTTTCAGAGACCAAGAGGTTAACTTTTTATGTTTTAGGATAGGGAAGACTTAATAGAAGTTGTGCAAAGGGCCAATAACACTACTCCAGTTGAAAAGTGTCAACAAAACATATTGCACTCTCCTACAGATAGTGACTTATCCAGAGGAGAGAGTTATCCCACAGGGGGGCCCATACAATCTGTTTGTGTAGCCGATTGTTGTTTTATAGTGAATGTACCAGATTTACCGTTTGCCTCAGCTATAGTGATATATTGCTGACTATGTATATAAATCAATGATAAATAAATATTGAATTACTTTACCTGTTGTGTATAGTCATCCTTTTGCCTCAAAAATGTTTTTTTTCTGGTTTTTTTTTTTTCAGCGATTTTGAATAAGTCAGTTCATCATTAATGTAACGTCTTTCTTTTATACATTACACAAACGATGAACTCAGACTTACTCAAAATCGCTAAAAATAAACATTTTTGAGGCAAAAGGATGACTATACACCACAGGTAAAGTAAATCAGTGTTTATTTATCATTGATTTATATACATAGTCAGCAATGTAACGCTGTAGGTGAGGCAAACGGCAAATCTGGTACATTCACTATAAAACAACAATCGGCTACACAAACAGATTGTATGGGCCCCCCTGTGGTTATCCACATTTTGAACAACAGGGGCCTGTTTAAAGCCTTGGTCCATTCATTCAAAGAGCAGATAACACTAACCAACAGATAAATCAATAACCAGCAAATACGTTTTAACAAAACATACTGCACTATCCACCGGATAGAGATTTACCCAGTGGATAACATTTTCCACCCTTGAAACATTATTGGGTTCTGGTTGTGTTGTTCTACTGTGTTCATGCACAAGATAATCTGCTTTCAATGGGTACCTTACTCCACCCAGGGGTAAAAATGGATGATGAGAAACTGTCAGAGAAACTTGCTAAAATGGTCAGGGAGGGGGGATGATAACTTGTAATAAACTATCTCTTCAGAGAGGAGTAGCACTATTACTTGTTTTCCTTCTTTATTATGCTTATACATAGTACAGCAATAATATTATTAACATAGAATGCAATACTAACATAACTAATAATGTACATGAAAAATTAGGCACTTGTTATTGGCTGAAAATGAGGCATTTTTAATGTAACACAAGTGCAAAGTTGTAACATCATTGCAAATTCAAAATAGCACATGCTGTATAAATTTGTCAGTCTTGACTTTCGAGTTCCATTTGGTGTAAATAGGCACATGTATATTTTTCAGACTACAAATTGCACTCTCCCAGCGGGCTCAGGCACTAAACATTTGTCTGTCATGACTTTCGAGTGCCATTTGGTGTAAATAGGCACTTATAAATTTTTCAGACTACAAGTTGCACTCTCTCTGCAGGATCAGGCAATTTTGTTATCTTTGGAAAATGTACTTGTACTTATCATCACCAACTAGCATTAAAAATCAAGTTATTACCTATACTAATACCTAACATGCATAAAAAGCTTATTCACACTGGCCATGAAATAGCATGATTTGTGAATAAATTGCACCAATGAGGGCCAATCAGATTGCAAGGATCACAAGTGATTTCAAAAATTGATATAAGAAAAGAAATAATCACTACTGAATGAAGCTCTTGATTATTAAACCAGGGCTGTAGCTAGCATGAGGCAAGACAAGGCAATTGCCTCGTCTTAATTTTGGCCTTTTTTAATTTTTTTCTTAAAGATTGACTTTTCTGAAGAAAAATGCCACAGAAAATCTTTAAAAGAGCATTTCTAAACCTCTAGATTTCAAAGTTTTCTGGGGGGGGCATGCACCCACACCCCTCTAGCGGCTTGCATCTTCGGCGCTTGAAACTTGCCTCATCTTGTCCTGAAATCTGGCTACAGCCCTGTAAACAAATTCTTCTTGTCAGCACCTTAGAAAATGTAGAAAGAATATTACGGAGAATATACATACTGATGTTACGGTGTAAAGGGCCAAGACTTCACCCTAATTACCTTACCTAAGCTTGTCAGGGTGGGGCTGCTGTGCCTTTCAACATTACTTGCACTCTCTCAGTCCCTTCCCAGCATTGCATATGCCTTTTTCATAATGAAACAAATCTCATATCTAAGTTCAACATTTAAATCAAGAGAGACTTAATTTTTTCAAGAGTATATCTTTGGTGAACAGAATTTCCATGTGATAAACCTTTGAACAATTTGCCCACATCTTGTGCCAATTCACTCAACTTTCTTACAAATGTGTCTATTTGAGGTGTGCAACAACTACAAAAAAATAAATTCATTAATTCATTCTACTACCCTTTGTTCCAAAGAATTGCAAAAGTGAGCAAATTCAGTAGTAATCTGTCAAACTCAATTTAAACTGGTTAATTATTACCAGTATCTAAATTCTAAAAGGATAACTTTTTGTGATTTCTTTTTTCTTTTGGGCTGAATAGGGCCATGCTCTCAAGGAAACAGTTATCATGTACAAAGAAAATGTTTTTTACTATTTTATGCTTCATCATGAAACCACATTCACAGGGCAAGTATGAACCTTTAGGAGAATTTCAGAACAAAGGTAGGAGAACAGGGGTGAAACCTTTCTTTCTATCACATACTGGGAGATAGTCACCTAAATTGTCATTTCACTGGACTAGTTAATTAAATGACAGGCTTTTATTATAATTTCGGCTGATTTTTTATCCTTTAGTAGAAATTGAGCCATATTCAAGAATTGAAAGAACAATACATATGATGCACGATCCTCGCAGTAGATAGCACTATTTGCGGTATTAGATATATCATATGTATCTAATACCGCAGTTCAAAATATATGAACTTCATATATTTTCATTGTATCTAAAAGAACCATATGACTGCTTTTCAGGTTTGCATTTAATGCTGTACTCAAACTGAACCTTGAATACCAGCAGAGGTTTTCAACTTGGCTAAAAGTCATGGCACTATACTTTTAGCAACAAATCCGGGGGTTAGCCACCCTGTTAACCTGTTGTAGGCCTTATAGTACCCTACAAAAGTCTATTTTTTGTTTCAATATTTGTAAGAGTCATGCATATGTATCATAAAAGTCAAGAAGCAGAAAAAATTGTTAGCTCAGGCCTACAGAACTACAGGCCTGAATACCCCAGCCAATCATTCCATTTTCCTGAAACTAGTGCAGTCTTGTTAACCATTAATGGGCATACTTATGGTTCTCACCTTTCATGTGACCCAAGGGACGAAGAAATTGTATTTTATTCTATTATTTTTTTTGTATTATATATTTCTCTACTCCACGTGGTAGTAAACTAAGTTACATGGGGGACTAAGGCAAGCAAAAGACAAGTATAAAGGTGAAGTTCCAAGACTGGGATCAAAGTTTTCTTATTTCATTTCGACGCTTCTTAGAAACATTGATTGTTTAATCAAGCCACAGGCAGCCCAAGCTCACTACTTGAGCTTATTTGTTGATTCCTAGCGTCTCAGGCCATTTTGAAGCATTTTCGGCGAGTTAGCGCTATGTTGGTGTTCAACTGCTACAAGAAAGAAAGCAGCTGAACACCAACATAGCGCTAACTCGCCGAAAACGCTTCAAAGTGGCCTGAGACTCTAGGAATCAATAAAGAGAACAAAAAGGCAATAAGGTAAGTCCATTTTATTTCAAAACAAGACATTTTTTCCTCTCTTCTAAGGCAAACCGATAACATCCCATACAAACTTTTATAAATATAAAACGCGGCGCAACACGGTAAGAGTCACGTCCGATTTTCTAGTAGTGAGCTTGGGCTACCTGTGTCTCATAGCACTGAGGCGAGGAAGGAGAGAAGAGTTTTGTCCTTTACGACGCGAGAGAGCAAGATAGGGAGTCTGAGTCCAGTAAGCTTCTTTGAACACAAACTTTAATTACTTGAGAGGCAGGTTACCCTTAGAGCTATCGACATAACAACAACATGACAACTAACTTATCTCAATGTTCACTCGTGTAACTCGAGAACTAGATTGGAATGTACGAAGCAATTACAAAACCAGTCCAGAAAGTTACATAACATTCACAACCTTTAAGAGTTACATAAGAAAGATCAGCTAAACGACATTCAAGAACGGTCTTGTCGAAGAAAAGCAAATGTTGATTTCCTGAAGGTTTTTACATATCATAACAAGAAGCAGACTAGAACAGAGGAATAGAAAAAAATAAAGGATAAATAAACTATTTTAATTTTATTTTTCGTACTTCGCTAAGATGTCTATCGCTTTATGTGTTTGTTATTACACTCGTTTTCAGTCATTCGAGAGCCCATCGTTGCGTACTTTGATCATTACCTGGCGTCCGTTTCTTTCAGGTCCCAGTAATTTAACAGGCCCTCAAAGCTGTTCTGTTTTCATTCGCGATGGAGGTTTTAAAAGTTTGGAGAATTACAAAATAAAACTCGAAACTTAAGAAACAAATTGGGTTGGTTAGGGTGGTAGAACCGGCTTCGATGTTCGTTAACTTTGGATTTATAAATGTGGCTACGAGCCCGTTAAGTTACCGGGACTTTCGAGAAACAGGCTCCTGGGGCCCGTTTCTCGAAAGTCCCGGTAACTTAGCGGACCCGAGGCCATGTTTTAATATAAAAATTCAAAGGATATAAAAGCAGGTTCTGGCCCCCAAACCACTCCATTTTGTTTCTTTAGTTGATGGTTTCATTTTGTTGTTTTCAAAACTTTTGAAATTCCCATCCTGAATGAAAACAGAACCGTCTTACGGGTCCGTTAAGTTACCGGGACTTTCGAGAAACGGGCCCCTGGTCACTCTTGGGAGTTTAAGGGCTAAGTTTATGCGTATCATAATAAATCAGATCTGTGCCAAAGTCCAGCAAAAGTCTTCAAGAATTTAAGCAAATTCAAGTATTAACTCCAAATGACACATGCGTAACTGTCACGGCTATGAGGACAATTCGTCACTATCCTCAGTCCCCCTCTTTCTCCCTGTTTCCTGTCTTCT